TTAATTTTATTAATTATAGGATCCCAAGCAGGTGGTAGTACCCAGCCTCCTTCTCTATTGAAATTAGGATGTTTTTTAAATTTCAATAGCCTCACGTATTATCCTTGGTAGGAATCGATGTTCTTTCGCGAGGATTTGTGGTCTATCAAATCTGATGTAATGATTGGGGCCATCTAGAACATGATCACAAACTGCAGACTTCCCGGAACCTTGATGCTTCACGTCAGCTATGTGTTCTTTTACGCGGGTTCTAATTGATCTCTTTTTTTGCCCCATATATGAGAGACCACAATCACAATCAAGCTTGTACACTCCTGCATCTTGTAGAGGAATATGACACTTGACGGATGGTAAGAACTGACTAATCTTCTTCGGCGGCTTGTAGAATGTTCTAATAGAAGCTCGCTTCAAGATGTAGCCAATCTTGCCTGTGACACCTCTGACATATGGTAGTATAGCAGGCACACGCTCGACTGTGGCCGGCTTCACTCGGTCACTGTGACGGAGGCGAGGGACCCGAAGCTTGTTGTCGTGCAGAACCTGCTTGACGTGCTGAATCTCGGCGGCCAGGTGTTTGCTGTCACAGATCCCTAGTGCTCTCTGAAACTAAGATTTGCCCACGGTAGCTAACTGTGAAGGATGATGGTGAGATTCACCATTTAAGTATCGGTTTGTATGTGTCTTTTTTCTATACACAGTATGACCTATGGTGTTGTTAGGATTACGGATGACTAACACATCTAGGAAAGCCAAGGAATTATTTGCCTCTAACTCCATAGTAAATTTAATTTTAGGGTTTATGGAATTAAGATGTTCTAAAAATGCAGTTACTTTGTCTGATGGTAAAATTGTGTAAGTATCGTCTACGTACCGCTTTTAGAACCTTGGGGTAACAGGTGCAGTAAGGAGGGCTTTCTCCTCAAAGTCTTCCATGAATATATCGGCGACAATGGGAGATACAGGTGAGCCCATCGCAACACCATCTACTTGCTTGTAAAACTCTTCCTTCCACAATAGATAGCCAGATGTAAGGCAATGTCTTAGTAGCACTGCATATTCTGGTGGCATGTTATTTTCATCTAGTTTCCTAGTTATAATTGAGATGCAGTCTTCAACAGGTAGGCATGTAAATAGAGACTGAACATCAAAACTGACCATGGTTTCATTGTCAGCAAGACGTAGGTCTTTTATCTCACTGACAAAATGGTATGAATCCTTAGTATGTGCTCTTGTGTGTCCTCTGAGTGGTGATAATATTTTGGCTAAGTGTTGAGCCAATCTGTACGTTGGCGAATCGATTTGACTTACTATTGGACGTAATGGAGCGTTAGGTTTGTGTATTTTTGGTAACCCATACAACTTGGGAGGTTTTGCACACGAAGGTATTATCGAATTGACATCTAGATTCAATTTCTCGGAGTATTTCTTAATTAGATCACTATTTGTTTTAAGCATATTAGTTGTAGGGTCTGTTTTGACCTTACGGTATGTACTTTCATCCGACAAAAGTTGTTGTATTTTAAAATTGTAATCCGATGTATCCGTTACAACCGTAGCATTTCCTTTATCTGCGCAGAGAATCGTAAGCTCTGGTCTGTTGCGTAAGGTTTTTAACGTGTTAAATTAATTTTTGGGAAGATTTAATTTCGGCGCTGTACTTCGACGTAACATAGACGAAATGTCTTGGCGTATGGCCTCTAAATCTTCATTACCAATATTATTTTTATACAGACAATCCTCAACACTACAGATAATGAATACGGGATTCTTCGCGGTGTAATTGCGTAATTAAAACCTCTTCCTAAAACTTTTAATGTGGCGTCGTCCAGAGTTTGTTTTGACAGGTTATAGACCACACCTTGTTTACTATTCGTGTCTGTGGTCGTTTCGTTCTTACGTTGCCATTGATGTTGGACATTTGATTTAGTTGTTAATTTTTGGTATTTATCAATATGTTTATTTTTGCATTCATTGTATTTAGTTGTTTCGCGTTTATCTAAAGTTTCCATGCAATTCTTATAATCAAATGTCGATAAAACTGTCTTTAATTCACTGGACGAATTGTCTATGGTTTTGTTTATGAAACATAGATCGGTACGTTTTTGCTGAATCACCGTTATTAACAACTTTTTACTCAACAAGCGGTACGTAGACGATACTTTCACAATTTTACCATCAGACAAAGTAACTGCATTTTTAGAACATCTTAATTCCATAAACCCTAAAATTCAATTTACTATGGAGTTAGAGGCAAATGATTCCTTGGCTTTCCTAGATGTGTTAGTCATCCGAAATCCTAACAACACCATAGGTCATACTGTGTATAGAAAAAAGACCCATACAAACCGATACTTAAATGGCGAATCTCACCATCATCCTTCACAGTTAGCTACCGTGAGCAAATCTTTGTTTCAGAGAGCACGAGGGATCTGTGACAGCAAACACCTGGCCGCCGAGCTTCAGCACGTCAAGCAGGTTCTGCACGACAACAAGCTTCGGTTCCCGCGCCTCCGTCACAGTGACCGAGTGAAGCCGGCCACAGTCGAGCGTGTGCCTGCTATACTACCATATGTCAGAGGTGTCACAGACAAGATTGGCTACATCTTGAAGCGAGCTTCTATTAGAACATTCTACAAGCCGCCGAAGATGATTAATCAGTTCGTCAGTTCTTACCATCCGTCAAGTGTTATATTCCTCTACAAGATGCAGGAGTGTACAAGCTTGATTGTGATTGTGGTCTCTCATATATAGGGCAAATAAAGAGATTAATTAGAACCCGCATAAAAGAACACATAGCTGACGTGAAGCATCAAGGTTCCGGGAAGTCTGCAGTTTGCGATCATATTCTAGATGGCCCTAACCATTACATCAGATTTGATAGACCACAAATCCTCGCGAAAGAACATCGATTCCTATATACGTGAGGCTATTGAAATTAAAAAACATCCTAATTTCAATAGAGAAGGAGGCTGGGTACTACCACCTGCTTGGGATCCTATAATTAATAAAATTAAAACTAAACCCAAGCATACCACTGCAAGACTTCAAAATACAGTTAGTTCATTCTGCGTAGATCGGACCAAAAACTATAATTAAAAAGCTGAAGGTACTCCGGGTTAACTTTGACATCGGGACGTCAGTCACCTCAGTCCCCCGTGACCATGGGTGCTGGAAAGCACCTGAAACGTCGGGTATTAAAATTAATATAAATAAAACGCGATAAAATCCGTAAAAGTAGTTTTAATCAATATACTCCTTTTTGTTTTACTACTTTTCCTGGGAATGAGGAGTTAAACCCTTGATAGATAAGATAAGATTTACTTAGAATAAATGCATTTTAAGTTTTTTATTTGTCTTTTAACGGTTCTTACTTACTGTAAAATAATTCCAAATAATTTCAATTATGTTAAAAATACTCCTGGTTGGGCATTAATTTGTAAAGTAAAAATGCTGCAAAACATTGACTTATATATTACTAGTGTAGAAATCATTGCTGCAAAAGGGCTAACAGACAAAGGAATACGCAAAAGGTTTACAGCCGACTTTGAAATAGTTGAAGCAGCTTTCAGAAAGAAGCCTAAACTGTTCTAAATTTTTGTTATATTAATTTAAAGTTGATTTCAATTTGAATTTTTATCGCATGTATGATTATAGTAAGATCTAGTACCTTAAACACAATAACCTGAGCTGTATTGAGAAATGAAATATTATGCTTTGATAAAAACTTGGGTAATTTTGTTTTTATCATCGTGGTATTTACTGTGCATCTTATATGGATGCATGTTTGTATGTATGTATAATATTTTGGCACACTTTGTAACATAAATGACTAGAAATGGCTTGACACAATGTCGGGTGTCCTTAGATTCGTCTTAGGCATGGAATTGACATAGGGTACCTATAAGATATTTCTCTTTTCAGGAAAATTATTAGGTCGTCGGGTTTTTTTCAAACACTGTTTTAACCACTGGGCTTCCTACTAGGAACAAATTCCTTTTTTGATCAATAAAACATTTGCTAACCTCTCTGTCACAAGTTTGCATATCGGTGAAGCCTTCTTTCCACTTAAACATTTGTCCAATATAAAAATGATATAAATACTGTAATATCCGAACCGGCGGTAAAAGTAAAAACACATTGTGTAGTAGAGAAGTAAATGGTTTCTATATTAACTTTGGTTTTGTGTGCAAAATTGACTTTAGAACATAATGATTTCTTATATTTACGCTACACATTCAAATAATACCAGTTTTTACGGAATTTATCGCGTAACTTTAACTTTTTAAATACCCGACGTTTCGAGACCTTTACATCACCCATGGTCACGGGTGGGACTGACATGTTCAACGTCCAGATGTCAAAGTTAACCGTGGTTACCATAGATTAAAATTTAATTTTGTTCCGATCTACACAGTATGAACTTATAGCATCATGAAGTTGTGGCCGTGGAAGGAAAAGGGGAGATCTCCTGCCGGGCAAGGTGTTCTGCCCGGGGAGCGGCCGACACTCCGTGTGATAGTTCGGAGAAGTTCTATATATACTGTCCATGATTCGGAATGTTAATAGCGCGATCTAGGCGTCGATGTGTTTCGGTGTGCTAGTGGCGCGACGACAGCGCCGCTACATCAATTTGTGGCGCGACGACAGCGCTGCCACATCACCCCCCTGCTCTGTTGATAGTGTGATTTAGGCTTCGGTGTATTTCGCTTGTGGCGCGACGACAGGCCCCGCAACTACTCCCTGCTCGACGAGCTACAAAGTCTTGCAGTTTTAAGCTTGGGTTGGGATTTAATTTTATTTATTATAGGATCCCAAGTATTTAAAATGTTAAATATACGCGATAAATTAAAAACTAGTATTATTTCAATGACTTTAGAACAGTTATAAAAGTTTGGTTGTAATAAACGGTATATTTGACTTCAATATCAGTAGTGTTTACAGAATAGAGCATAGTTAGTGACAATTAAGGCTTACAATTCTTTATTTATTAATAATACATTTTAGTGTCCTTCATCAATGGTCATGACGTCGGTGTCGGGCTCGTAGTGCCAGTCGAGCTCGCGCGTGCGCACGATCTGCTTGTACACGAAGGCGGTCTTGCACGGCGTGCGCGTGCGCTCAGGGCTCTCGAAGTCCACCTCGTACAGGCCAAAGCGCTTACTAAGGAGAAAAAACAAAACAATATTTTGAAATATTGAAACTCCTTACTGCTTTAATAGATAAAATTAAAAAAACGAACGTGTATCCTTGCATACACTCGTAATTATCCATTAGACTCCAAGTCGTGTACGCTCTAATATCCGATCATAAAATAATCCAAGCTACCGCGTATGTATTCAATTTCTTCAGGAGTGAATTCAGGAAGCCTAGACCTAGGATAGCCTTGAGCTACACTTTTAGCTGCTATCTTTTTTTCATGGAAGGTGGAAAATCACCCGTCTGCATACAGAATGAACCCGAGAATACAGAATGAACGTATTGTCGCCACTAGAAAATTAAAAAATATTACTCAGTTTAATTTTATATCTACAAGCCCAACTTTTAATTTAAAAGAATTGAAATATGTATATAAATTATAAACTATATGTCGCAGGCTTATGATAAAATCAGTTTTTTAATTAAAAACTTAGACTTTTGATAAAAAACTGGAAGAAGACAAAGCTATTACTTAATCTTATCATTAACCTAAACAAATCCAGTTTTGCTTAAAATAAAAAACCTGAACTTGTCTAGGTTTGTGATAAAATTCAAGCTTAAGTTGGGTTATGTTAGGTCTGCTTATTCGTCCCGGACCATCCTCGCTGGTTCAGCGGCAGTATTTATTCAATTTCTTCAGGAGTGAATTCCGGAAGTCTAGACCTAGGATATCCTTGAGCTGCAATTGTAGCTGCTATCTTTTTTTCATAGAAGGTGGAAAGTTGCACGTCACCAAGAATACAGAATAAGTGTATTATCCTCACTAGAAAATTGAAGAATATTTCTCTATTTACCAATTTTATATTAACAAGCCCAAAAATAAAATACTTTTTTTTTGTCCAAAATAATTTAAATAAAATATTTAAAAAATGACTATGAATCTATGAAATATGAGACTATGAAATGGCTATCTACTATATTTGCATTGATATTGATATAATACTCCAATACAGATGAGAGCAAATGAAAAATTGTTGTAAAGCAATATATGATATGTTCATAAAAGCAATGTTTATATTAACCAGCAGACCATTAGATTTTGACCTGAAAATCGTTGTATTCATTAGCAGCTTCAGTATCATTTTCAGATGCCGGTTCATAATAACGAGTACTGTATGTAATAAAAATAGCACTTCCTTGTGTTGATCTAAACTCCTCGTCGTGTATATGATAAGCTATCGCGTGAGCTAAGAGCAAGTTTTTGGCGCACATATACTCCGCCACGCCTTTGATATTAAGCATTGGTGCCTTTACTTTGTCACCATAACCCCGATTACAAACTTGATTGGCCTCATTCATAGTGATACAGTATTTTACTCTATCGCCGAAAAGCTGGAATGCTGTTCTAACATAGTCACCAAACCAATCAACAATATATGGATTACTCCAGCCACCCATTTCTTGAAGTTTCTGTGGTAAATCCCAGTGATAAAGAGTAACCATTGGTTGTATATTATATTTAAGCAGTTCATCAATTAAGTTTTTGTAGTATCGCATTATACCTGCTTCGTTTATTTTATCAGGGAAACTTGTGGGCAAAATTCGTGGCCATAATAGTGAGAATCTGTAAAAGTCAAGTCCTAACTCTGGCAACATTTCCACGTCGCGTTTGTACAAATGGTAGGAGTCGTCAGCGATGTCCCCATTAGAACAATCTTTGATGGCGCAGGGCTGGGTATGTGTTAAATGATCCCATATGCTTTCCGCTTTCCCTACAAGAGGGAAAAATATTATCCAAAATTTGGAAAAAATATTTTGAGTATTTTGAAAAAAAAAATATGTTTACCACCCTCGTTCCATGCTCCTTCTACTTGACAAGAAGCAGTAGCTGATCCAAACATAAATCCATCCGGAAATATCCTTACATCTCATCGAATATCGTGATTTTTACATTCACATGATACGAGACTAGTTACAATAAAACTGGAAAAAAAAATATACTTAATTCTCGGCTTCAACGCGCTTAAAATAACGGTTACAAAATTGTTATTTTTTTAATTTTTTCAAAATCTGCTGCTTTATAATGATTTTTAAAATTCATCAAAATAACATACACATATATAAGTTTAAAGATACATTTCTATTCAGCATTTAATTTCTATTAGTTTATTTCATTATAATTTTGGAATGAAATAACATTGCTCTTATTTCTATACATTAATTATGAAGTAATATTCAAAAATATGTGTGTGATAAATTTCTTTAGTGGTAATTAACTTATTAGCAAGTAGGTGATATTTCGATTTAAGCACTCACGTCCGGACAGTGTATTGGTCCAATTAGTTAGACCTATGGAAAAGCCAGAGTATATGTATAGGTTAGGACAATGACAAGATTTTTTTAATGAAGGTAAATATAACTTAGAGTCATGACCACGTTCTTATTTAAAAATAAAAAATAAATTATCAACAATTAAAATATCGAATTATTTGAATGAAGGTCAAGTGAGCGCTAAAGAAACGACGATTGCAAGAATTTGTTGATAAATAAAATGTTTTGAGAAATTATCCATCACCGTGTTGTTGCGGTAAATGAATATCCATATCATCCCGTGGATGTCGTAAGAGGTGACTATACTTGGTGGAAAGTGTTATTTTTAAATAACCGTGAGCATCGTTCCAGTTCCAAAAAATTCGCAGTGAAAAATCGTCGTGACTTTGTCACGTTGGATAACTACTTGGAACGCTAAAACGACTTATATCGTGACTTTAAATATTCATTTTAGATTTAATATTTGGTTTTATTTTTTATTAGCTTCCTCAACTAAGATACGAACGTGACTATGTTATAAATACCATTCTAAATATTATTTTTGAAATAAACTAATTTCACCTGACCTAGCCGAACAGTCGGTGTACCATTCCAGTACATCGTACCGCACCTTATTATACAGTAAAAAGGTACGTTTAAGTAAGATGAATAACTAATATCATTTTTAGAAAATTGTATTGATGTCCATCGACCATGGCGGCAAAATCCGATAGTAGGAATGGCACACATGCAAAAATACTGTTATACAAAAATAATCATAAATCAAAATATTGTAATAATAAAATAAAAATATACTATATACTTATAGAGATATCATAATATATACACTGAGTAGGTAAATCATATTTATAGAGACGCAGGAAGAGATCCATGAGAATATTATTTTGTAGACCAGTTTTTTTTACATTTTCATTAATTACAATTAAACGAGACCAAATTACTCAGTGATTTTTAAAAGAAACCTGTGCGTTGAGATTCTAAACCTAATAAAAAAATGCGCCATCCACACATACAGACATCCAGATACCCTCAAATATTTATTTCAACCAATTTGTTTTTACATTAAATACAGAAAATTGCTTTTAAATAAAATAATAGAAACATGAAAATGAGTGATTTTTCTCGATATATTTGTATTTTTATTATTCTAAAAGTGCAATAGTAAAAAAAATAGAAACATTTTGAAGCTAATATTAAACTACAATCAAAAGTATATATTGTACTTTATTACGCTATCTTTGACTTCAATTCAAATTGAAACAACTTTGTCATAATATTCACGATATATAGGAACTATAACACAAAACGTAATTTTTGCACATTGGAACTTGTAGAATATAAAAATTTGTGATGTTTTACATAATTTATAGTGAAAACTGCGCTAGCACTTCTTTGTGGTGAAAATTAACACTTTACATTTCATTTCAGTCAATTCTAACTACTTTATTTCTCACGTGAACGATACAGTATTTGAAATGCTTAATTTATAAATTGTTACGAGACAAAATATAAGCAAATAACTTTTATAAACAGACAAATTTATTACTTTTTATATAAAAACGATCAACAAACTTACTATTTTGTACCTACCATTTTTTTTTATTAATTTAGTGGTCTCTTGCACTTACGCGGCGAAGAAAATAGACTGAAGTATATGAAGTAAACGCGATGGGTAGGAAAAAGCGGAAACTCGTCATTTGAGTTGTATAATTAAAATATATAAAAATATATCTTGAAACTTATTTTATTATTAGAATAAATTATGTCGGAAAATCTCACAACATTTTTACAATAAATTAATTACATTTGAAGGATTCTACAAAAATTTATATTGTAGTCTTGTTAATAACTTTTTAGTACACGTTTCCCATCGCAGTTTTATTTTAGTTATTAACATTTAATATAAAATATACTTCAGTTTTAGAAGCGTAATTTAGTAACGAAACAAATCCTCATAAAATTTTAGTTGTATAAATCTTATAAATAACATTTAAAAAGAATCGTTCCAGGCACTATTATCTATGGTTCTGAGTAAACGTAGTGATTACATACTCTTTGGGGTCCCTTCTAAATGTTTTAATGTTTTTAATGTTTAAAAAAAAAGAATATTAACAATGCTACAAACATTACTAATATTCCCCTCAACCATTCGTGGTAAGCTTAAATTGCTTGTGTTACGAGTAGTTCACGCCAGTAGTCGAATGGTGGATTCGAACACACGACCTTTTTGAGTTCGCGGTCCGCGCCCTGCCATTAGGCTACTGTCGCTTTAATTATATTACTATACTCTTTGGCAGAGTCTATAAAGGTGACATTTGATTCTCCGAACTATGTGTACTATTTAATCGTAGACAGAGAAACCTATAGACAAATTGACGCCTTCTTTCACATTCGCACACGAAAAAGATAGATTTATGCATACGCCTTGCATAGAAATGAGACAAAGCGGTGTGATTGTTTGTCCCTTTCTCCGTGCCGGTTTTTTTGTTTAGCAAACTATACTTTGCTAAACAACTTTGACAGTTCGTAGCGATCTGAGGAGTTTACAAGTTGGTTTAAGTGAGAAAAAAGTGTTTTGTGAGCTTAAGATTGGTGAATCAGGTTCAGTTCAGTTCTTAGAACAATTAAAATTTTTATCTAAATATGTTTAAAAGTCATAAATATTATTGTATAACATAAAACTACGTTATCATCCTTTCTCACCCAAGGCCACGCTAAACATTAGTCTATAGGTTTCTCTGTCTACGTATTTAATAGTACCTACATTCATTTATAACTATGTGTTTACCCAAAGTCCATTGTTTTACAAATCAACAAACATTTAGTTTAAGATACTTTTTTGAAACTGAATAATTTTAAATTCAATTTCAAATTCAATTCCCTGTACGTAACATTTCTATTTACTTTTATCTTGACATTTTAGTCCAGTCATTATCTCTCTCATCAGTCTCAAAACCTACATGTGGTAGGGTGTACGCAACTATTAAATTTCAAGGTCAAAGGTCACAAAAATCGGTTTCTTGCGCTTTTTCTGTAAATATCTCATTTCCTATGGGTTTTTTGCTATTTGTATTTATTATCAATATTGTAGAATACAAAATTCTTCAAGTCTCTGCAAGTCAGCTACATTGGATTGTAGTTCTTCTCTACCACTTGATGAAATCAATATCCAAACTGTGACTTCCATTGCTTCTGTGCAAATTCCTAACATTTCTTCCTAACTTTAATTTCTCTCATGTTTCTCAGGATGATGTCAAAAAGTCTATTTTAGCAATTCAGTCCAAGGCGGTGGATTATAATGAGATTAGTAGACATATGGTAGTATTTATACCAGAGCACCTTCTTCAGGCTATTTCCTATATCATAAATTTTTCTCTTGACCCTAATATTTGGAAAAGGGCTTTTATTAATCCGTTCCCTAAAGTTCCTACTCCCATTCTTCCCCCATTAAATTTTCAATTGCTTACATCGGACTTGATACAAAAGAAATTGGTCAAATAATTGCTATCCCGATAAACACACAACATTTTCAACTTAAGACCTTCTCTCTTAATCAAAGTTTTGTGTACACAGATTTGTTAGTAATTTTGCTTAAATTGACAATTATGATAACGCATGCAGACAGTGGCCACCGGTCTATACTGGTCTGACAATTTTTAATTACATTAATAGAATTGTGTTTAATTTGACCAGTTACGGACTAATTATTAGCAGTAATATTAGTAACAATCTGGTACTCAGACACATAAGTTGAGGTGCGAATGGAGTGGCTCTATCGCACAACAAAGCCTTACATTTATATGATACATAAATTTGGCATAAAGTGATGTAGAATGTTTGAAAAATTTTGCTTTTATCAAATATACGCAATCAGCGCCGCCTGCGGTGTATAATTAAATTATTCTACGATGTAACAATAACATCTAGAAATAGCAATGTCGTGGTTAGTTGTTTATATCGCCAAACAAACTCTATTCATTGACTTGGTCAAGCTATATCATGATATAGTCAAAAAATACTGTAAAATTTTATGAAATACTAATATTTTTATTTTAACTATAAGGATAATAAGAGTTTTCTACAAATTGCAATTTTTATGCGTTTATTTATAGATAAATAAAACTAATACCTACTAAAACTTTTTATATATTATAAATTAAACTTAGAAACATCCTTAATGTTATGATTTTCTGTAGATATCACTATTATATATTTAAATAGTAATTAGTCTACTAAAATGACAAAAAAAAACAAAAATTAAAGAATGTACAAAATAATTTAAAAATCAGTTATGAATTTAAATAAATAACAATATAAATGTAAGTTATTCATAATACTTAGTTTATTAGTAAATGAGGGTAAAATGTCACCACTATGTCTATTGTCTTGAAAAAGTGAATACAACAATAATAAATAATGCCGTAGATTGTCGGCGTAGTTCAATTTATTACGCAATGGTTAAAACGGTTGTAATTTTGGGTTTTATTTATTTTAATAAACATATCGATAGTTTAAAATAGAAATCAACATCTAAAGAAAGGAAAAAACTTAATCCTTCTTTTATGAAGTT